GGCGATTTGGCGCCAAAGTTGAAGCACTTGAGCATAAGTACGTGTTGGAGTATAAAACCATGGAGATTAGAGACATGACAAACCTCGAATCTATGAGGTTTGATGAATTTCCGCATTATTGTCTCCTCGTGATAGAAAATGTGCCGAGGCTTGTTGAGTTGGACACTAATTGTGTCGAGATCGGAACTGAAATCCTCTCGCGCGGCAATATAATTAGTGAGCAATTGGCGAAGGTTAAACATGTGGAGTTGGAATGTCATCTGTTCAGGAAAACTATTGACTTCCAGGAACTCGTTCGTTTCATCGACGCGTGTCCGTGCTTGCAGAGACTCGAGATTAAGGTAATTTATATATCCTAATATTTTATATAATTATCCAAAAATTGATTAACTGGAATCAATTATATTCATATATGTATATTAATATATTGTTATAATTTTGCAGTTTACGGCAACAAGCTTTCACGAACGATATTATCGTATGAAGGTGGTGAACAAGGCCTCAAATGATGATCATCCGAAAATGGTGAAACTGTCGGGACTCGAAGCGTCTCCGAACGAAGTCGAACTCGGGGTGCTCGTTGTTGGAAAAGCTACGGCACTTGAAGAGCTTATCGTGGAAATTAGCCCCGACAAAAGCTACACAAGCCGAGAAAGGACTATAGCTCGTGTGCGGAAAGAATTTCAACCAATACTACAAGATTCGGTTAATTTTGTTGTTGTCTAGATATTTAATTTAATCCAAGACCATCAAATTTATATTATATAACCTTGGTGCAAACAAGTTTTTATATATACAACAGCAGTTCTTTTCGATAATTTTTCGACACGATTAGCATATTACGTAAATTACAATAAACACATTATACATTAAAGTAACTATATGCAGCAATATGTACCTGTCTTCATAAAATAAAAACATGTAGCTAATAATCGATCACACGTAGAAACAGATGCGTTCGATATAACAGTGTATACTTTACGAAGTGACAAATACTTTAGCCAAGAAGAAATCCAATCAAATTCCTGTAATCCCAACACAATTGAAGTTCAAAGATTCTAAATAACATTGCCAGCGAATCATTAACCAAACGGCACAGAATTCTTTTCAACCTACGACGACAAAACAACCTTAAAAAAGCAATATCACTGAATAATAAATATTTAACCAAGCATTGTTCGAAAAAAAAAAAAAGATTCATTTGCATCCGGAGTTGTCTAGGTAGTTTTCCGCCAGCTGGCATCACGGTCAGCTCTCGACGTTTTATTCGACCTCCAATCACCATCACTTGGATTGTGGGTTGAACCATTTCCTGAACTCCAAAATTTGCTGTCCACCTGGCGAGTTTTATTGCTCGATTTTCCAGTGCCTCCATAATCATCTCTCCTTGAAGATGAAGGCCTCTCGATCGATCTCTGGTTATGTTCACATGGCTGATTGTAACCCTTAGTTCCATAGTTAGGGCGAAAACTCAAACTCGTTTCTTCTTTAGCCATTCTTCGAGTTTGTGAACTAGATTCCCCTTTCTGAAACCTATACATACGACCATATCTTACGGTTAATAGCCCGCGTCTAGAAATTAAAGCAAATTAAAAAAATAAAAAAAAATAAAAAAAACACGAAATATATCGCACCCGGAACTGTGCCAAAGATTGGGCTCCACAAACTGTCTGGCTACTCTCTGCAAAGCAAACGTTTGCGCATTTATGCAATTACAGTGTATTATCTTAAATAGATACAGAATAGTGTATACCTTTCGTGGAATATTTACACCTTCAAGAAGGCGAGGAAGGTGATGAAGTCCTTCATATACCTCGTAGAAAATACATCTGATCAAGATGAAAAAACGTTTATAGACAAGGAAAAGAAAAAATTAATTGAAATAAATATATATATATATACATATAATTTGCAAAATCCTCTTTGTTTGCTTACAAAATATTTTCGGAATAATACTCCCCATTGTTATCGTTATCGGGTTCGGTTAGACGTTCGCGCAGCAGATGCAAATTACCTTTAACTCCCTCACTGAAAATTTGAACACATGATGGATAAAAATATAATCAAACTTGCATCTGGTATGAACTATAAATGATGTATAACAAAAAGGAACTTACATAGTACTATCAATCATTATTGCATCCTCAATCTTGTCCGATTGTGCAGGCGCAGCACTATCTCCGCCGAACAAAATTTGTTCGTTCATTTCGTTTGTGCGTCTCACGAACAGCAACTCAAGGGACTGCAGATTCCTAATTTTCTCGTCTTCCTAAATATGATTTCGCATTTCAAATTCTTTAAAAAAAAAAAAACGAAAAAAAGGAGCGTATATGATAAACTACTATACATTCAGTTCATTTTCGAGCTTCCTCGTTTCCGTAAGAAGACGCTCTTCATCTATGAAAGGGATTTTGGATATTCCCTTTTAAGAAATAAAATACGTCACATTATATCATACACATAAATATAAAAAGTAATTTACATAAATAACACCTCACATAAAAAATAAAAAAAATGTTTGTGATACCCGCCACTCATATCTCTGCCCATCGTTGTCGATCT